CGGTCATTCCCCCGTGGTGTCAGGATCAACAACTGTGTCGGAGAAGACAACCACTTTGCCTTTGTGCAGCTGCTGGTCTACGCCTTCCTGCTGGGCTTCTACTCCTTCATCCTGCTCATGTGCCACTTCTGGGTCTTTCCAAAGTGCAACAGTTGTAACAGGGTAAGACTTTTGGATTGTCCTTTATAGCACTTTGACTATCCTAGTGTACCATCATGACAGGTTAAGACTTTTGGATGATCCTTTATAGCACTTTGACTATCCTAGTGTACCATCATGACAGGTTAAGACTTTTGGATGATCCTTTGGGACACTTTGACTATCCTTTGTGACACTTTGACTATCCAAGTGTATGCCATTATGACAGGGTAAGACTTTGTGACTTATAGAAAAGTCTGCTTATATCTTTACAGACAAGTCTGGGTTTATATCTTTACTGACAAGTCTTGATTGCTTTATTGACAAGTCTGGGTTTGTATTTTCATAAGTTCTTTATTTATATGTATCATGGCAGTATATTTATATATATTTTTTTATATATATATATGTAAATTATAAGCCTGATTTTTTAACATCTGGTTGGAGGGCACTACCGTTAGGTCCTACTTCTTTTCTTTTCACTCTGTTATTTCTGTTTGTCTGTCTGGCTTCTTCCCAGCACTACATGACCGTATTGTGCGGATGCGTTTCTCTTTACTCAAACTCGGACACAATGATTTTTATTCATATTTCAATGTGTTATTAACGATCTCATTGTTTGACCTCCAACTGACCCATATAACCAGGATGCTATTTATATCAAGCACGGCATCTGGTTCATGTACGTGGACTTCCTCCTGGCACTCAACATCATGTTTATGATGGGCGTCATGGTGACGCAACAACACTTTCACCTCATCATTGTGAGTAAAAAGTGATCTCGTCCTCCTCCTCTTTCTTCTACTCCTCCTCTTCTTTCTTTTGCTCTTCCTCCTCTTCTTCTTCTATGTCCTTTTTCTCCTCCTCTGCCTCCTCCTTTTCTTTTTCCTCCTCCTCCTATACTTCGTCATCTTCCTTCTCCACCTCCTCCTCTTGATCCTCTTTTTCTCCCTCTTCCACCTCCTCCTCCTCCTTTTCTTTCTCTTCCTCCTCCTCCTCCTCCTTTTCCTTTTCTTCCTCCTCATCCCCCTTTTTCTCCTCTTGCTCCTTTTATTCTTCCTTCTCTTCCTCCTTCTCTTCTTCCCCTCCGCATCCCCCTCCATCTTATGAATGTCATGTTTGATTTCTTCAGTATCTATACTTTATCAGCAGCAAGCCCTATGAACTTTGTAACTATTATTACCCCAGCAGACCTTAGAGAACACTCAGAAACATTTTTGGCCTCCCAGGAAGCGTACAGTAAAAGCAGTTAATTAAGAGCTCAAACAGTTACAAACTTTGCTGAGGAATCTGTTCTCAGAATGTTCACTTGGCACCTATAATGATCTTGATATTTTGTTCTTTCTTACTTCCCAATGTCTGTGGTGTAGAGGTTAGGCTCTTTGCTGTTGCACACAGGAGACCCGAGTTTGATTCTTGAATGAGGAGAAATTTTTATAGAGTATCTCGGTCTTTCTGCTGAGTTTTGTTGTATCTCTGTCAGCCCAGGTTGGTCCTGACAGACAGGGTAGGACACATTTGTCTAAAGTGATCTAAAGTGTATAGAATTGGGGGGGAATACCTACATTTATTTTATATTTTTTTTACTCCCCAGAACCGAACGACAATAGAAACAATGTTGAAACCTCCCAAGGCCAAAGAGTGAGTTTTTAAAATAATGTTTTTTTAATAATAATTCAGTGGTGCCATCTCTGTAATAGTTACTGGAGTGGAGAAAGGGCTTGATTGTTTGAGCCTATTTGATTTTCTCTGTGGCTGGTCTCAAAGCCTTAAATCAAAATCCTTTTTGGAATCCTTAGCAAGTCGCAGTCCTTTTAGGAACCCTTATCAAAGTCCTCATTGGAATCCTTATCAAAATCCTAATAAGAATTCTTATCAGAATCTTTTTTGGGAATCCTCATCTAAATACATATTGGAATCCATGTCATAGTCCTCGTTGGAATCTTTATTCAATCCTTATTGGAATCCTTTTCAGAGTCTTTATTGAAATTATTATCAAAATTCTTATTGAAATCGTAGAAATTATTATTGAAATCTTTTTCAGAATCATTATGGGAATCCTTATTGAAATCTGTATCAAATCCTGATTGAAACTCTTATCAGAATCTTTATTGAAATCTTTATCAAAATTCTCATGGAAGGTCTTATCAGAATTATTAATGAAATTCTAAATTGATATCCTTATTAGTAAATACCTTGTTGACTTTGTCTTATTTTGTTTCTCATTTTTGCCAATTCTTGCCACCTGTTATCCCAGCTGTAGTTTCATTGTGTGGTTCAGGAACAATACCGATACTGATGGTGACAATTTTTTAAGATAGGACAGATACTTATTGTGACAGTTACTGAGTTCCCAGTCTGGACTTAAAAACAGAAGACTATGGCTTCTCTTTATTCACACAGACAAACAAACAAACAAACCAGCATCTTTGGTGTAGTGGTTAGGCCCTTTGCTGTCGGACTCAGGAGACCTGAGTTCAACTCTCGAGTGGGGAGAAAATATTCATCTATTATCCCGGTCTTTGTGCTGGGATGTTGTATTCGTCTCTGCCTAGGTTGGCCCTGACAGGCAGAAGAAGAAGCCCGCTTCCTAAATGTGAGGCAGCGTGGTGGAATCAGGCTCTCGTCAATTTTTTGGGCATGTGGAGTTATTGGTATCATCTGAAAACTGATTTATTTGCCTTGCTTCCAATGAAATAAGTATCCATTTATCTTAGATAGAACTCGACATATTTGCGATCGAAGGAAGTAAGGTCGCCTGGTTTCAGTGGTGAAATTAGCGAGAAAATGGCCGCTAAAGTTTGGTTACTGTAATCGCTAAAGAGTCTTTGAAACTGAAAAATGAAATATTTTGTGCCTTTAACTCAAAGTTTTTCAGTAAATTCACCCGCAAATGTGTTTTCATATCGACATAAAAGAGGCTAAGCCAAAAAAAAAAATTTCTATAAAAATGTCCAAACTGGCAGAAAAATGCCTGTTTCTCCAATTTTGCTATTTTGACGAGCGCCTGATTTCACCACGCTGCCTCACAAATGTCCTGAGTTGTGTCAATGGAGGGGTAAAAACACCTACACTTTAAAAAAATATGAAACAGGTGGTATTTGTATAGCTCAAATCCCCGCTCAACAGCAAGCTCTCTGCCCTTTTCAGTCTATGTTATTACCCCAACAGACCTGATTGCATTCTGAAACAATCCCAACTTCCTGAGAAGCATGCAGTGCAAGCAGCCATTTTAACTCTTTATCTCCGGCAAGCCACTCCCAGCAGCTCGCGGTCGGAAACACTGTGCCGGTGAGCCACTGGCAGGGGCTCGGGCGCATTCTTTTACGACAACTTCGACATCAACTGACTTTTCGTCAATTGGAGAGATCATTCATTAGATGAAGAACTATTAAAATAAGTTCACTTTTTTAAATTTGATGACCAGTTTAGTGGCATATATGTCAATTTTAGATTTCGTACCGAAATGGGGCCCCAGCATAGTGGGTTAATTTTTACCCCCCCCCCCCCCCCCCATGAAGATAAAGAGTTAAGGAGCTAAAACACTATCATACATTGATTTAATAAACAGGCAAACTGTTTTCATAGACTTGTCTCTGTTCCCCAGAATTACGGTGAGGCAGACCTACACTGCCTACAGGGAGCTTTGTGGGCGGGGCCTACCTCTGTTCTGGTGGCTTCCCATTGGTCGACGGCGGCCACTCCTCCCAACCTCCCACAGTCAGAATGTCTGAGGGTGTCCAATTGAAATGTTTATGTGTGTAGAGGATTTTTTTATGGCTTGCGGACTCCGCTTCTCTAGACTGACAGAGAGAGATAGTGGGAGACAGAGAGATAGTTAGAGACACAGAGATTTAGGGAAAAACAGAGAGATAGAGACTGAAAGAAACAGAGAGAGATGAAGAAACAGAGAGAAAGAGAGAGAGAGAAATTGAAAGGCTGAAGATGAAAAAGACAGATAGACCGAGGGAGAGACTTTGAGAGACAGGAAAAGAGAGACTGAGCAAGAGACATTAAGATATTTAAAGAGACAGAGAGAGAGACATTGTGATACAGAGAGAGAGAGAAAGGGGGAGGCAGTGAGATACAGAAGGAGAGAGAGAGAGACAGAGGGAGACGGAGAGACATTTAGAGACAGAGGGAGAGAGGGAGACATTGAGAGACAGAGGGAGAAAGAGAAACATTCAAAAACAGAGAGAGAGAGAGACGTGGAGAGAAAGAGGAGAGAGTAAGACATTAAGAGATAGAGAGAGAGATACTTAGAGACAGAGAGAAAGAGACAGAGACATGGAGAAACAGAGGAGAGAGTGAGATATTGAGAGATAGAAAGTGAGACATTGAGAGATAGAGAGTGAGACATTGAGAGATAGAAAGAGAGAGGCAAAGGAGAGAGTGAGACATTGAGAGATTGAGAGAGAGAGAGAGAGAGAGTTGACGTTTGTTATGTGACCTGTACTATAGGGCCAATGGCCTTTGTGATGGGGAATGGTCGATGTTCTTATAGATGATTTTATTATTTTTTACTTATTTGTTTATTATTGTTTGCTTACAATCATTATTAATATTGTTATTTTCATTATATTAATATTGTTGTTGTTTCTATTGGTGTACCGATGTCTGTGATCTAGCAGTTAAGCGGTTTTTCCTGGAGAAGATCGTGTTTCGATCCCCATGTGGCGAGGATTTTTTTTTAGATGCCTGTACTTTCTGCTTTGACTTTGTGTCCATCTCAGCCCAGGCTGGCCCTGACAGGCAGGGTCAAAGCCGGCCTCCAAAATGATCTAAATTATGTCGATGGAGGTGGAAAAATACACTCACTTAAAAAATTTTTTTTTTTCTAATGATGTTTGAGTTTTTCGTTATCATTTTTATTATTATAATGTGCCATTATCGTTACCATTACCATTATCAATATTATTTTTGTTATTACTAATTATTATTATTATTATTATTATGTGTTTTTACTATAATTATGATCACTGTTATTATTACCACATGTTATTGTTATTCTGGAATTGCTGTCCTTATGAAAATTCTCATTGTTACTTTCATTACAAGTGTGGTCTAAAAGCTTGCACGTTTCGTCTGTCATGGCTCGCTCTACCGTTTTGACTTTCTGTCGGCATATCACCATGGCAACCAACTGATACCTCACGTAGCAAGGACAGGGATTTGTCACTGAGGTCACAGTTTGTCTAACCTCAACAGCTGATAGTGCTCCCTTTCTATACTCAAGGCTTGCTTGCTTGTTTGTTTGTTTGTTTGTTTGTTTGTTTGTTTGTTGGAGGATTTTTTTTTACATAATTAACCTCTTCACTGCTGTGTGGACATAGGCACTCACTTTTGCTGTACAAGACTGAGTGAGTTTATGGGTGTGCACATGTGTGTGCATGTTTGTGCGTGTGTGTATGTGTGTACGTGGTGAAACACCAAACCAATGTGCCAGGATCTGAACAATAAAGATGTATCTTATCTTATCTTATGTCTGCTATTTTTCCTTCGGGTCTGTAAGGAAAGTTTAAGGAGATACAACTAACCACAGCTTTTGCAGATTTCTTTTCTTAAAAGTTAGGGGAAAGATGTTACAATGGCTTTGTTTTAATATCTCGAATAGACATTTTATTTTGTCTGTGCAAACGTAGATGGAATGTCTCAACACTGGAGGAGTTAACCCTTACGACACCAGGCTATTTTTAGTCCTCACTTCTCCCTGGCCCTGTTAATATTGGAATCCTTGGCTCCTCAGGCCCAGCCAATACTGACAGTGTCTTTAATGTTTTAAGCAGACATTGCAGAAATCCCTACTCTGCTTTTGTTTGAAGTTTAGTAAAAATAACATGTAGAGAATATTTCATTTTCAGAAATATTTTGGGCAGATTGCAATTTAAAAATACCCGATTCGGTTTGGAGGCGGTCAGCATCCTGTGAGGGATATATACGCACTACTTGGGCTGTAAACGTTAAAACTTTTCAATAATGTGCCGGGTTTTTCTCTGAGCTGTTGTGAGAGTTTGTCAGGAGGTTTTTTTTGTATTCTAAGTTGAGCTGTTGTATGAATTTGTCAGGGTTTTTTTGTTGTTGGTTTGCTGTTGTTATTTGTTTTTGTTTTTTTAGGTGGGGGGGGGGGGGGGGTTGGTATAAGTTGAGCTGTTGTGAGAATGTGTCAGGTTTTAATTTGAGAATAATTGCTGTTGTGAGTATTTGTCAGGTTTTTCATCAACATTGAAGGTTATTTTTGTAAATAGATTGAACTGTTATGAGAGTAGACCTGTATAGTCAGAAAGCTGTTCAAATTCTGTTTTTAAAAAATATTTAATAAAAAATAACTTTTTAGGTGAAGATTGTACCTACCTTTGTGTGTCTTTTCATGCTTTTAGCAATGCTTAGAATTTGACTTTCGACAAAATATTTCATGAGTTCATGCAACCGATATCAAAGATTAAGAAACTAAATTTTTTTTAAATTTCTGAATCTTGAGCTTAGTACATTTGAACTTGAACAGCTTGCTGGCGATTTCAGGTTCTTCGTAAACTTTTTTAAAAATGTAAGTTGAGCTGTTGTAAGAATACGTCAAGATTCAATACGTCAAGAAATCCCCGTGACCTTGATCTGCTTCCATGGATCACACTGCTATCCTGACATGGCAACATTTGAATGTGCATCTGTGTGGTGAAATCAGGCTCTTTTCAAGTTAATAATATGGAAAAATCTCATAATTTTCCTTCGGTTGGGCAATTTGTATTCAATTTGTTTTTGGCTCAACACCTATTATGTCTGTATAAAATCAGATTTCTTAGTGGATTTTGAAAGGTGTTGCTGAGAGGCATTTAAAAAATGTAAATTTGCAGTTTCCAAGGCTACTCAAGCTTTAGAAGTCATCAGATTTTGGCGTCCATTTTGTCATTAATTTCACCTCTGACACTGGGCAACTCCTACCTTTTTCAATTGCAAGTCTCTCGACTTCTATTCAAGATAGATGGGTAATGGGTTTTTTTCCCATCGAAAGCAAGACATGTGATCAAGCTTTTGATGAGCACCTGATTCCACCGTGTTGTGAGACAAATGTAAAACACATAAGCGCATTAGATGAGTAATTGTAATGGTCGCAGACTTTTAACCAGGGAAGCCACTGGTCTCCTACCAGATTTTTACTAGTTGATGTGTTCGCTTGCCATGCAATTATTTCATCTCTATCTCCCTGTCAACAACGCAATATTGGTTTAACATACTCGTTTTGGACACAAGATTTTGAACTTAGTCTCTTTTAATGACTTATCTGTCTGTGAATCAATTGTCAAAATCTTGAAATTATGCTTTTGAATGTAATTTTTTTGCATTTTAGAAAATATGTCTGTTGCTATGTATTGACCAAAAGATTTGAAAATACTCAATGGGACTTGAGGCTTCAGATAGATAGTGAATGTTACAGCCAATAGTATGTTTTAAACCGTGTTCATTATCCTGAGGTTTTACTGTATGTGTTTCCATGCACGTTATACTGAGGTTTTCATGTATGTATCTCTGAATCACTGTCAAAACCAGCTGTGTAACAGAGATTAGACCCTATAGCAGCGTTTGCAATCTGCAGCTTGCAGTGTATTCTTCCCAGGAAGCCGAGAATATTTCTGGGTGTACTAGCTCTAGGGTCTGCTGTGGTTATAATTGTAGTAAAATGTATAGAGCAAACTATAGGACGTGGATATGTGGTATATGAACACAATTATCATTTTTGCTATTATAAATATTAATATATGAGGCAGCATGGTGAAACCAGGCATTCGTCAAAATAATGAAAGTCAAGAAACTGGCATTTTCCCGCCAGTTTGGCAACTTTTATCGAAATTTTGTTTTTTAGCTAAACACCTTTTATGTTCATATGAAAGCACATTTCCATATAAATTTTACTGCAATACCTTGTTTAAAGGCAAAAAATATAATTTTCAATTCTCACGGACTCTTAAGCTATTGAAGTTACAAAACTTTGGCGGCCATTTTCTCGATAATTTTACTTTTGAAAACAGGCGACCCGACATCCTTCAATCCCAAACACCTCGACTTCTATTCAAGATAAATAGAATTTTTCTTTATTTAAAGCAAGACTAATGAACAACCTTTAAGATTACACCAATAACTCCATATGCCCAAAAAATGACGAGCGCCTGATTCCACCACGTCGTGACACATTATTATCATTATTATTCCTTATGTATTCCATATACAGGGTGATCCAAAAAAAAACTTTACAACTTTTTTTCGAAATATCTCGCGCAAATGTTGTTCTAGAAAGATGACATTTGGGACAGATACACTTCATTCAAAGGAAATTTGTTTGACATAAAATTCATACAGAAGAAACTTATTTTCAGAACAGAAAACGCTTTAAAAAAACACACCCTTAAACGCAAAATATACCAATTTTTAAAAAAGACACTCTCGCAAGGAAAGTCATGAGACGATTGATTTGATTTTTGTCTTCTTTTTCTTCATAACATTTAATTGTTCCAACCTTGTGACATTAAACAATATTTAACTTCTCTTAGGAAGTTAAAGAACTAACATTTAATGTTCTGGAATTTCTAAAACAAATGCTCCACATGTCCTCCTTTGGACTCCAAACATCTTTTAACGCATCGTTTGAAATGCTCGATGACGGCCAAACACAGTTCCAGCGGAATGTTTCTCACTTCACCACGGATTGCTTGTTTCATAATTTCAATGTTTTCAAACTGGTTTTGAAATATCCTGTCCTTCAGATAGCCCCACAAGAAAAAGTCTAAAGCATTCAGGTCAGGAGAATGCAGAGTCCAAATGTGTTCACTTCTGCGACTGGTCACATGATCTCCAAAGTGGTCAGCTAGTCGTGTCATTGATCTGACAGAAACGTGTGGATTGGCCCCATCTTGCATGAACTACTGGTCTTGGC